ATGTAGAAGTTGCTATGAATTCTGAAGAACTATCAGAATATTTGACAGATGATGAATTTTGCTATAGACAAGTATATGTTGTAATTTTTTTAAAAAAAATTTCAAATATTAAATTTTTAATATTCAATTTTAGATATACTTATTAATCAAAGTCGAAACTACTGAAAAAAATTCATATAATCTTGCATTAATTTAGTGGTATGATTTTATGTCTGAAGCTAATACATATTATTCAAAATGTCTTAGACTTAAAGAAACTAAATTATATAACATCATAGATATTGATGCAATTAAAAATCATGTTTATATAATTCCACGCTTTGATAAATCTAATGATTATTTAGTTAATAAGTATATGTTTTAAAATTTTAAATCAAATTAGAATAGTTTAGCATAATTTGAAAGCAATAGTATTAAATTTAATTTAGTAAGCAAAATCAAAAAAAGCTAATTCAATTAAAATAAAATCTATACATGATTAAACTATTTAAATAAAATTAAAATAATTAAATCTAAACTGCAACAGTTTGAATTAAATTAATTTAATATGAAAAATTAGATTTTAATAATCTATATAAATTAATATATTAATAAAAACTTAAGTTTATTAATTGATAATCTGCTAATTAATCAGAGAAAAATGTAACACAGATCACATATAAGCAGTCTCAAATTAAAATTTTCAGATTATAGTAAAAGTCATAAAATTTTTAACAAATATAATATTAAAGTAACACAAATAATAGAACAAAATTATAAACTTTAGATTATAAAATCATTAAGTACGAATTTTTTTTTTGATAAACTTCACTTTGTAAACACGCAATATTTACTATATTAATATCTTATTAATTAGATTATAAAATAAATTGCAGTATTTAACAATGCATTGTTTTAGCTCATCTTAAACATATTTTTTTAATTTTTTAAACATTTAAGAACATGTTTCACTTACCCAAAAGTAGATTTTGTAAACTGTTACTAATACAAAGGCGTTCATTATCAAAATTTGCAAATCTAATAATATAATATTTAGATGTACAACTTGGTGTTGAAGAGTGCAAAATGTAGGCATAACATGGTATACTAAAGTGTATTTATTTTGAAGAACTTTAGCATTTACTCAGTTGATCAAAACAAAAATAGTATGGAACCGGAGCTGATTTGCAAAGAGTATACAAAAAATACACACTTACAAGCTAAGTTAAATAATTATTTGTGTATGATCTTTTATTTTATTTTATTTTTTTTGTTTCACTAGTAACAAACATTTTTTATATTTATAGACTAAATAAGGTTGAAACTAAATTTAGGTGAGTATTATAGATAATTTTCTTTATCAATATTGTTACTAATACTTTTAAGACAGCTTGCCTTTTTTTTACATTATTTATTAATTTTTTTTAATCTACTACGTATCTAACAGAGAGATTTAGAATCTCTAGTATTAAATCATATATAAATACTCTGGAAGTTTATTCTTCAAATGCAAATGAACTGATTTAAGAATATTACATAATAGTATAAGTATTTATGTCTTAATTTGTAAACTGATGATTTTAATTTACTGCTAATAATCTTTATATTTATATGCTAAATAAGTAATATAAACGAAATAATTTGAAGAGCTAATTTTAGTTTCGCCGTTTAATAATGATCTTTACTTTCATAAGCTGAATAACGTGATTAATGCATCAATTTGAAAAGCATTGTACAATGGTAAATGTATTTATATTTTTGATTTGTTATCTTGATTTATTTTATTTTATTTTTTTTTTGTTCGCTAATTTTAACTTTACTTATAATAAACTATCTTTGCTAAATGAGGATGAGGCAAATAAAATTGTAAAAGATAATAAATAAGTATTTATATTTTAATTTGTAAACTTGATTTAATTTCGCCAACTAATGATATTTATATTTACACATTAAATGAAATAGTTAATGCAAACAAAATGATTTGGAAGCATCACAAGTTGGTAAATAAGCATTTAAGTTTTTGGTTAATTTGTTGATTTTAGTTTTTCACAAACTAAATAACTGATTAATGTGAAAAGAACAATTTGAAGAGGATTCCTCATATAATTAGTATTTATGTTTTGATTTGTTACTTTTATTGCTAATTTTAACTCTATTTAGTAACAAACTATTTTTATATTTACAGGCTGATTAATGATCAATACAAATTACCAATATAAATAAATATTTATTTTTTTTATTTGTGAACTTGATGATTTAATTTCACTAAATGATTTTTATATTCACATACAGAATGAAATGGTTAATGCAAACGAAATTATTTGAAGATATTGTGAAAAGATAAATAAGTATTTATGTTTTTTGTTGATTTGCTAATTTTAGTTCTTATATTTACAAACTAAATACTGTGATTAATACAAATAAAGCAATTTGAAGAGTATTGCAATGGTAAATATCTTGATTTGCTACTTTGTTTCACTGGTTTTTTTTTTTTGTTTCATTAATTTTAATTACTTAGTAACTATTTTTATACACATAAGCTAAATAATAATGATCAATATGAATGAACAGTAAATAAGTATTTATCTTTATTTATATTCACATACAGAATGAATAGTTAATGTGAATAAAATAATTTGAAAGTATCATGAGATGTTAAATAAATATTTATGTTCTCGGTTGATTTGTTAATTTTAGTTTTTACCTTTACAGACTAATTAATGCGAATAAAATGATTTCAATAGTAAATAAGTTTTATGTCTTGATTTGTTACCTTGATTTGCTGGCTTTTTTTGCTGATTTTAACACTACTTAGTAACAACCCATTTTTATATTCATGGGTTGAATAATAATAATTAATACAAATAAATAATATAAAGGATAGTAAATAAGTATTTATGTCTTTATTTGTGAACTTGATTTAATTTCACTAACTAATAATATTTTGGTTAATACAAATATAAGATAGTAAATAGGTATTTATTTTCTTAGTTAATTTTCTGATTTTAGTTCTGTAATTGATAGTGATTCTTACTCTCACAAATTAAATAGTATGATTAATATGAATGAAATAATTTTGAAGAGCATTGTGCAATGATAAATAAGTATTTATTTGCTTTTTTTTTTTTTTTTAAGAATTATGATTCTGTGTAATTAAGGTTGAGTTAATTCAAATTGGAATCATTGTTGTAATTTCTATTATGAGTTGCTATAAGCTTATATCAAATTTTGTTATATATTAAATTAGTTTTAATTAGAGCAAGTATATAATACTATATTTATTGGTATATATGAAAATAAATATAATAAATAAAAAAATTTTAAATATAAATTTTTTATTTTTTTATTTTTTCAATCTTATATATATTTTATAATATTATTATTACAATATAGGTCTTAAACTAGTTGGTAAATTGGCTAATTTTAAACTATAAATAGTAGGCTAATTCTAAACTACAAATAGGCCAGTTCTAAACTATAAATAGACAAGTAGTGGGTTTGGTTTTTAAAAAGCAGTAGAGTTAAATCTTAATTATTAAACAACGCCGACTTACTTGGATATTGGTTATAATTTTTTTAAACCTGAAGAAGAAAAAGCATTAGCGATTGCACTTTGCAAAAACACTACAATAATTTCTTTAAACTTTATATAGATTAGATCTTAATTAACAGATGGATTTGGTTTGTTTTTAATTGATTGGCAAGCTAATAAAACAAGCTTTTTTTTAGCTCACCAAATAGTAACAAAACTACTAATTTGCTTACCAGCTTGCCAATTGCTCTAATTACAAGTAGGTTGAATAAGTTTAAAGCTACCTTCGTTATAACATAATAAGTGAACTAGAAAATTTTATATATTATAATGAGTATAGTATAAATAGTAAAATATATTATTTATTATAATGAGAGATTTACTTTAACAGGGTTCGCTACGTATAATGAGGATAGAGTGTATATATTTATTCACGTATGGTATATACGAATGTATTAGGTATATATAAAATAAAAAAAAACTTCATATTTACAAATTGGAATTTTCATTAATAAATTTGTATCATAATTACTTAGTAAATGTAGATCTTTTTCTTTGATTGACTCATGGATCATCAATTAAGAGACTTTTGTATAGCTTGTCAAGACACATCTAATGGTAATTAGAGCATCAAAATTGGCTTGGTGAGTACCAAGATATCTATATAATAAAAGAAATGTTTTTTAAAGATATCTTAGTACTCACTAAGCCAATTTTGATGCTCTAACCACCATTAGATATGTCTTGACAAGCTCTACAAAAGTCTCTTAAGTTAGAAAAGTGATTAACTTAGTATAAAAAAAAGTTTTAAATATGTACACACCACATTTGAAGACCCCCAATTTTTATAAGTAATTTGAGTCACTTTTTACTATAATCACTCTCTGGTTGACTAGTGGATCACCAATTAATAAACCAATCAGTATTGTGTGACCAGAATATATTTCATTGGATTTCTTTTTAAAAAAATTTATACTATTATAATTCTTAATTTCGGCCAGCACTATTCTAATTCTGGCCACAAATTCACTGCATATAAAGTCGTAAAATATCGATTTACTAAAAATATTGATTTACAGTACATAAATCGATATTTTTCACGCACAAGCTAACCGGTTGGAACAGGATAACCCCTGAAACTAACGCTAACCTTTTTGACCAATCAAATTCAAGATCAGGTGTAACGTGAACAATCGAAGCGAACCTATTTTTTTACAAAAAGCCGAAATAACTCGAAATTTTAATTAATAAACCACCTTCTGCGGCCTAATTAAAAATGTTCCTCGAGAATTTTATTGACAGAAACACTACCATCCTAACCTTAACCTAACCTTAACCCAAACTACAACGTTTTATTCTCAGTAAAAATTACAGGGGAACAATTTTTGTGGGTTCTCTACCTAAAAATTAAAAATTCGGAATAAATCGGAATGTGATGATCGGATAATTAACAGTACCACACTCTGGAAATCTTTGTTTCATTTCCAAAATGTCGCTAGCCGATGAGCTACTCGCAGATCCAGATTTCATAACTACTCGTGACGAAGAAGCTGACGATACTGATAACGATGGATTGGAAGATGTTAAAATGCGAGATTTGGAAGAGATAGATGATGATATGGCTGATGTTGAAGAGGAAAAGCAAATAAGCTCAGAAGTCGAAATGAAAAATGTAATGGATGTGAGAAAAATTGCTAAACTTCTTGGTTCTAGACAAATGAAGGATATTCTAACGGTTAGTTTAGTTCGTAATTTGACAATACAGTTGTTAGTAAGTCTCATTAATAAGCTTAGTTCGACCATCGTTACTTTCTTTAAATCATTTAGAAAATAGAACAGCTGAAAAATACAAATCGAATTCATGTCCAAATAATGGGCCCTGTTGAAGAAGACCCAGAATATAAACTTATTGTACAGGCAAATAATTTAACTGTAGATATTGACAGTGAAATTTTAATTGTTCACAAGGTAAAATATTATTTTTATTTTTATTCAATAATACTTTATGATAATTTTCTAACCTTTTTTGGTTGAAGTTTATAAGGGATCATTATGCAAAAAAGTTTCCCGAGCTAGAATCATTGGTACTCAACCCACTGGATTATGCTCGTGCCGTGAAAGCAATTGGTAACGAAATGGTTAGTACTTTTTTCACTCAATATTTTGTAATATAGATTATTTAAAGTGCCAAGAAATTATGGTATTTATTTTTTCAATAGACACCAACCTCACCGTGGACCGTCAATTCCATCGGATCATTTTCCATCATTTTAGGATTTGACCAAAGTCGATCTTAGATCGATACTTCCATCTGCGACCGTGATGGTGGTAACAGTTACTGGTTCTACAACAAACGGCCTGCCATTGACAGTAGAAGAAAGTAAGATTGTGAGCGATGCATGCGATATGGCATTGGAATTGGATAGTGCCAAGCGTACGGTTAGTAAACAGATATTGATCGATTTAATTTACATAATTCTAGAGGTTTAAAATTTTTAATGTTTTTTATAAAACAGATATTGGAATATGTGGAGTCAAGAATGACCTTAATTGCGCCAAATCTTTCGGCCATAGTGGGCAGCACCACTGCCGCCAAAATGCTAGGACAGGCCGGCGGTTTGATGGCTCTCTGTAAAATGCCTGCATGCAATGTTATGGTACATATTTTTATTTTTGATAAGTGAAGAAAAAGTTTAAATAGTACTATAATCCACATTTAAAATATAAACCAATTCGCAAAAATATATATTTTGATGTATTCGATGTATTTTTAGTTAATCGGTGTCCAGAAAAAGACAAGCACGGGCTTTTCTAATGCAACAACACCGAGACACACTGGGTACTTGTTTCAATCCGAATTGATACAGAGAACGCCACCAGATCTCAGATTGAAAGCACAGAAGATTGTTGCCGCAAAGTATGGTCAATTTAATTTCAATCAAATTGTATCTTTTCATCGCATTTATTTATTTCGGAATTGCTTTGACCTAGATGTACGTTAGCCGCTAGGATGGATCGTGTGCATGAATCGCCTGATGGTAGTATCGAATTTCTTGAGTATTTGATCGATGAACTCTTGACCTTTATTAACTAATTATTTTATTTGTCTATAATAAGGCTCATTTGGTAGATCTTTACGGGAACAGATTGACAAAAAACTCGAAAAATTGCAGGAGCCGCCTCCATCTAAGACGGTCAAACCTTTGCCAGTTCCTGATGAAGGACCAAAGAAACGGAGAGCCGGAAAAAAGTACAATACTCTGCTAATTATTATTTATGCCTATGTACAAATATTAATATTTGATTTATTTGATTACTCATCTTTTAGAGTACGTCGAATGAAAGAAGCGCACGCAGTTACGGAACTTCGTAAAGCTCAAAATAGGATGGCATTCGGTGTCGCTGAAGATGAAACTGGTTCTTTTGATACAACTAAGGGTTTAGGCTTGATTGGACAAAGCTCTGGCAAAATCCGCGCAGCTGTGTCCGATCCCAGAGTTAAAGGTTTGATTACATTTTTATTTCAGTATTTTTGTTAAAACGTAATTCACATTTGTTTTAAATAAATTCGTCTTTTTGTAACGTACGCATTTTTAAAGCAAAGGCACCCAAACGATACCAGCATATGGGATCATCTGGCTCAACTTCCGGTTTATCATCTTCTTTGACTCTTACTCCTGTACAAGGAATTGAATTAATCAATCCTGACGAATCACAAAAGAAAGTTAAGGACGCAAATGATAGATATTTCGGTGGTGGTGCATTTTTGAAAGTTGGTAAACCAAAACAACAATAGAAACATAAACTAAATGTTATGAAATATTTTATTGTTAACATGTTTGACAATTTAATTGCTTGTCTTTGATAAAGCATTTCCTTATATCAAATTATTAAATTTACAATACAAGCGATGATATTTGCAAGATAATTCATGTAGTATTTATATTAAAAACTACAAAAATTTGCTACGTTAAGCATTATTATTAGGAATGGATTCTTTTGAAGTATATAGGTTAATATATATATACTGCATTATTAAATTATTGATTACAAGTAGTGTTACCCAGTGTTGTCAATGGACATGTATGGACTTATTAATTAACCATAGCTGCCGCAACAAATTTGGACCGGCAGATTCTTGATTTTGATTGGCTAAGAGCGACGATCAAAAAATTAGGCCGGAATTACTCATAATTTTACTAATGAAATCATAGCCGCCCATTAAGTGAAAATTGTTCCTGGGTAGGGTTGTATAACTTACCGTAAGTTATTTTTAAAATGTAAGTTACATTTTATGTTGTGTAAGTTACCATGTAAGGTAAGTTATATAATGTAAGATAAAAAAAAAAAATCGCGAAAAAATTGTATCATTTATCAATTTAATATGCCTCGTAATAAAGGAACTTTTTGGGATGGATTTGAAAAAATAATAAATAAAAAAGGACAAGAACGGATGAAATGTAAAACTTGTAATAAATAATGGGTCAAAAATGAAACATGAATGCAAGAACATTACAACTATTGCAAGTTAAAAAATTCTGGCAATAGTAATATATCAAGTTCTACATCAAGTTTTGTACATAACAATGATGATAATACAAGAACTATTAATCATAAACAACAAACAAAAATGGGAAATTTTTTATACAAGTTTACGAATGCGGATCAAAAAGAACTGGAAAGTTTGTTAGCGCGTGGGTTTTATTTTGCTGGTATTTCATTTAATATTTTAGAAAATGATAATATAAAAGCTTTTTTTTCAAGGGCATTACTATACTTTAAATTGCCTACACGTTATTCTCTTTCAAATTCTCTTCTTACTAAAGAGTATTCTGGTTTAAACACTGTTATTAATTACTTACTTAATGAAACACAATTTTTGTGTCTTGTAATGGATGGTTGGTCAAATATTCATAAAGATTCTATCATTAATTTTATGATTACAACTCCCAAACCACTTTTTTACAAATCAGTACATACAAAAGAAGATCAACATACTGCACAAAATATTGCAGAAGGAATAGATAAAGTTATACAAGAGCTTGGTGTCAACAAGTTTGTGGCTGTTATTACTGATAACGCACCTAACATGAAAGCTGCTTGGTGTATCCTTAAAAATAAATACCTAACAAAAGTATTTTTAGGATGTTGAGCACATGGAATTAATCTTTAGATCAAAGATATTCTAAAATTAGATTGGCCAAAAAACGTATTAGAAACCAGCAAAGAAATTATTAATTATTTTAGAAATTATAATATACCACTAGCTGCACTTCGTCGTCTTCAAATAGAAAAATATAGACATATAATTTCTTTAGTACAAACAGTAGATACACATTGGGGATCTGCATTTTATTGTATGGATCATTTATTACAAACAAAAAATGCAATTTGTTTATTATTAATAGAAGAAAGTATAGGAATTAGTCCTAATATTAAAATTTATTTAATAAATGATCTTTTTTGGCAAAATCTTAAGCATCTTCGTAACTTTTTAGAACCTTTTGTCAAATTTATTCACGAATTAGAAGGAGACGTGCCACTTTTATCTGCAGCTTTTCTTAATTATATCAACTAGAAACAACAATACGTAATAATGATTATGTTCCAACTACAGTAATCACAGAAAGTATAAGATTAGTAGAGCAACGTTGGAATGATTTTTTATACAATCTAGCAACAATGACTGTATATAAATTAGATCCACGATATTGCAGAGAAATTTTAGATCCAAACAAATGGGATGCGCCAATTGAAAGAGAGCTTATACATCTTGCTGGACCAGAGAATAAAGACCAAGTTTTAGAAGAACTTTCAGAATATGTAGGAAAAACTGGTGGATTTTTAGCTAATTATTTATGGGGTTCGATAAAAGAAAACCCATATAATTGGTGGAATTTGGTTAAAGCCCGATATCCAGTATTAAGTAGTATAGCATTAAAATTGCTTTTAATACCAGCAACATCAGCTTCCTCTGAACAAAACTGGTCATCGTTTAATTTTGTCCACTCAAAATTACGTAATCGCTTACATAATCTATGTGTAGAAAAAATAGTATATATTTACTGGAATCTTCAAATTTTACGTTCTTTAAAGTAGCCACTTTCAGTTAAAGAATTAAGAAATAGGGGCTATTTAATTAAAAACAATGTAGTTAATTTAGAATTAAATGAAACCAACTCAGTTGAGGAAAATAATATAGATAATTCTTTATCTGATAGTCCGTTATATATAGATAGTATGGATTATGCTGACGAAATTGACGATGTAAGTATTGACAATATGAGCAATATATATAATATGGATAATATTGATAGTATAAATGATATGAGCAATGATGAGAAATAGAAGAGCATTAATGAAATATATATTGGATAAGAGCAAGGTAAGATATTCATATATTATCACAATTTGCATGAACGGGTGATTTTGATGAAATGTTTGCACTTAAACTTATTAATTGCTATTATGAAATTAGAGTTACTATAAGGAATTCGGTTATT